GAGAAACCAAATTTGTTGTACTTTGGTACAACAGTTCACTCTTAAGGAGTGAATAGGATTGCTCAGATTTTACTTTGAAAGGCTTTATGATGGTTTTGGTTATATTCTGACCTACTAAAAATAAATAGATTTACTCTAAGATAAATCCCAGTGGAACAGCAACTTTCTAATTGACTTGTAATATACAGTCTTTCAAATGCTAGCACAATTAACCCCCAGAAGAATAATAAAGGAAAAGAACAACCTAGCTTCAGTGATGTAGCCATACCGAAGCCATCCTCAAATTCAGTTCTAAAAATAGCTTGTTTCTTCCCTATAAGCAGGGGAAGCATAAAATAGTTAAATTTTCAGACAGGCACTTAGGTAAACTGAGAAATGCATTTGGTGGACAACAACAATTAGCACAAAATTTTGATTTTAGAGGTCTTTTGCTGTCCTTCAGCTTAAAAGTAGTTCAAAACTTACAGCAAATTTCACTACTGCATATACTGAAGAATGAGATGAAAATGCACTGTGAACAAAGTATGACAGTAGTTCATATCCAATAAAAACATAAAATAATACAACTATTACAGAAAAGCAGTAGTTGTGGGAATAGAAGTATTATTCAATATAAAATATAATCTTCTGTCCCATGTGAACAGTTTCACCTAAACTGGAGAGAGTAATTTACCAAGTTTAAATGTGTGCCTCTGGTAAATTTTTTTAGGAATATAAATTATTGGCTCTGAAATGACACTTGTGCCAATCCAATCAAGAGGTCCTCATCTTATCTTTTGTGTCTAATTTTTATCATCTGCCTGTGGCCAACTTTCAGGATAGTAGCATATTCATGATCTGTTAAATTAAAAAGGTTTCTGTACAAGTGAAACTATTCTCAATGTGTTGATATTTCAGCTGTACCTCTACATTTTTGTAACACAAAGAGCAACATGCCATTAATTAATTAATTAAACAAACATCTTCATCAGAGCTAAACTATTTTTCTCCATAAAATAAAGATGCATTCTAATTACTACTAATATTATGAGAACTCTTTATTTTATATCACATGGATTTTAAGATACGTAGTTTGAAATATCATAAATTAAAGAAGGCATCTGAACTGACGCAGACTCATCTGAATTGTTACTATCTACAGGAAAAAAAAGGGCTTTCACAAAACCCGTTGATATCTGAAGAGTTATCTACATCGAGGATCTCCCTCGACATTAGCTGTAATTACTGTCCACTTAAAATTACAAACCTAGGAGTATGACCTAGGATATGTAAAGGAGCCTCAAACAGCAGAAGCTTTAAGAGAGAGAAATGTTTCTGTAAAAATATTTGCATAGATGTACATTCAAAACAGCATTTTCACCATTTCAATTCCCTGCACTCATGTTGCTACAGTCATCCACAGGGATAAAGATCACATAGGGGCAGCCCTGGAGTTTGAAACGGCTGTTGCTCAGTAATTTAGCAAAAGGTGTATTTTCGTACTTTCTGCAGTCAGTAGGAAATGATCCAGTTTGACCTTTGGCTTACAGAAATTGTACTCCCCTGAGCTAGGCAATACTGGTAGACTATAGCAGAAGTACAAAAATAAAAGTTACTTAAAAATAGCATGGCATGAAGAAAATAAGGCACTTTTGGCAAGGAAAACCCCCAGATTTTGTATTTCGATGTACGGCAATTCTTTCTAGAAGGATTTTGTGCTTAGAAATGTCACATGATGCAACAGTGAATCAGGTGCCAAAACCAACAAATCACAAATTCCTATGAGATTAACTGCAACCTCTGAATGGTTCAACAAAGAATCAAACTGGTTTCTGTACACCGTCATGATTTACCAATACACTGGCATCTTTGCTCTTTTGCTGTGAGCTGACAGTAATTATTTTAGAGAAAGAAAAAGAAAGTGTGGAATTAGTAATGCAGATGCTGAAAGGCAAGTGGCAAGACTCTACGAGAAGAATGCCTCAAAAAATGCTACTTTGTTCCCATTTCTACTGGCACCTATTCCCCAAGGTAAAAGGCCAGAATGACCAAAGCCAACTTAATAGTAGTGTGCAGAATGTCAGCCGACAAACAACATAAAAACAAGTCACGTTGTGTTATCTGTGGTCACGTTCTTCAGGGTTAGTCCAGTAACTCAAGACTTTACATTCTTCCGTCTTTATTTGTTTATTTTAATTAAACATGTAATGGTTAATAAACAGACATAGTCCAGAGTTAGTAGGTTGGTATTATAACATTTATTAAAATAATGCTATGGGTTAATAGAAACAGCAAAGAACCAAAGAATTAAAATGCAAGCTATGTAAAAACCCAACTAAAACCCAAATGTCTAATGTATTCATCCAGTAGCTAACTAAAAGCCCAAGAAAGACAACACACCCAATATAATAAAGTACTGCAAAACAATTGGCAATTTTTCAGTTATCAAAATTGTGGGTTTTGCATTTTGTATCCTTTTTTCTCAATCAGGAAAAAAATTCTTTTGAATGTTATATAACATACATATAAAACAAGATAGAAAAATACATTATAAACTTGTAACAATGGCTGTAAATACATTATCTTACATGTTTCTCATAGGCAATAGGTTGGTTATGGTACATACATAGCATGAAACTACTAAGATAATAAAGAATAGACAAATACATGTCATCTGTACGGTTACATACAAGCGACACTCCCATCTACCCACTCTAAAAAAATTACATAATACTGTCAGAAAGAAGTCTTAAAACTACTTATTTTAATAAAGAAAAAGTCATTAAAGAATGATAATACTGAGAACCAAGGCATTCAGAGATTTCAAAAGTCATGCTTTTTTTTTTTAAGTTGATCCAAAATTTTGTCAACTAAATTTTCAGAAGTTTGTTCAGAGCAAACGTTACTTTCACATGTCACACATCTATTTCATACACTTCCCCTCCCCCCCAGTAAAAGACCTTTGATAAACATCTAAAATGTCCAGGTTTTATCATAGTTGAGATGAAACTGGATCAAATACTGGTATTGTTTTAGCAAATCTCTCTTCAAATGTTTGAGTGTCGCAAGTTTATTCAACCAACCAACCAAAATAAAATCAAAATGGCACAGCATATACTGTAAGTAAAATCAACACAACTGTATGTGTAACAGGAAGACAAAGCCAGTGGCACAATAAACAAAAAGCTAGCTGAATACGAAAGGATGAATGTCTATTGCATAGTAAATAAACTGATAATTATTTCCAGGTGAGACAAGATGTTAGATGAGGTCACCATGCAGGTGCTTAAAACTGTAAGCCCTCTTAGCTTACTATTGACCTTTCATTTGGAAGCTGTGAAGATTTGCAGGAGGAGAATAAGTTGACAAGAGGGGAATAAAGTTATCACCTGATATTTGCCAAGTTTAGTACTGAGCCCCACGCGAAATAATACTTAATGTTTTCAGGATTAAATACTGTGCGTTCAACAGCTTCAGCTCTTGCAATTGCCCAGCTACGTGAATCCCATGTGGAAATAAAGGTTAAAAATAAAGCACAGCTGGACTTCAAACAATTAGCTGATGTCCCTCTCCTGCTTATCTTAGGAGGAAAAGCCAGCGGGCGGATCTAACAATAGTCAAAGAAGAGCTGAAAAATAAATAACTTGCATGCTGTTTGCCCCTGCAGGAGCTGCTTGTAAAAACCGGGGACATGCTCAGACTATAACTGAAAACTAGCTAAGCGCTTTCAATTTCATTATCCACACAACATCAGTTTTCTGGGCAACGCCGAAGCCTCCTGTGTTTGATATCTATTTATTCCAACCAAAAATCAAGAAAACTCCTCTCCATCCCCGAACAAAAATGACACGCTTTCCAGCTCTACAAACATTTGTCAGCTAATAGTCTCATTTAGCGTGAGACAGTCTGTATCACAGAACCCTTTGGTTTACATTGCACAAGTATGGCATTTGCTATGATTTAAAAAGTAGAGTGGCTGAAATAACGATGGGCTGGTTTGACGAAAACTTAGCAAATATTTTAGGTAATGAGATTTTGGCAAAGTCACATCACACTAGTATGGCAAAAATCAGGTAATTAATACGGTCAACTCATCATTTGTCTTTCCTCACAGCTTCTTTCACATACTGGGCGACTGAGTGGCATGCAGTAACTTGTCTGAGGGAGAAGCTGATTATACAAGACATTTGACTAAATGACCATGAAGAAAATAAGGCACTTCCTTTTCTTTAGACTTATTCCAATACTTAAAAAATAAAAAAGAAAGACTAAAAGGCTCTTTTGGTCTTTTGTTTCTTGACAACCACCAGAAAAAATCATTTAATGAAATAAAGGGTTTCTTTGTTCTTTTTTTCTTTTTTTATAACACTTGAAAGTATAAAATGCTACATTTCCAAAAATATATTTTTTTCTGCACCAGCACCCTTGTATAGTAAAAGTATCTACTTTTTTGTTCATTTTGTTTCAATGCACTACACTTTATCTACAATTTCATTACATGTATACAGCAAATAGGCAAGCATGGCTTTTACATCCTTAATGAATTTTTTTTCTATACAGGGAGGTTTAAAAAAAATATTTGAACAGTTTGCCCAGTAATGTGACACATAATGCATGTACCTTGTTCTCATGTAATCTTCCAAGGAGATTAAAATATGGTTAAAATAATTTAAACTCAGATTTTGCTTTAATAGTGTTGCTGTTTTGTTCTCTGCATTAACGTAGTTCTGAAAAGTCATCGTAATCGGCATTTCATGGCACACTTTCCTTTAAAACATCCAATTTGGCAGGCAATAGAAAAAAGGCTGCAACATCTGCCCTTTCCGGGCACCGGTAGTGACTAAACAGCGTATCAAATTTTGAATACTTTTTGGAATCCCTTCCCCAATGACATCCCTGACCAAAGGTTCATGCATGATGCATCATCACACAGTACATTCAGAGAGAGCTTTGACTTCTTTTTTTCTTTTTTTTTCTTTTTTTAAATTTTTTTTTTGAGAAGAAAAATATTCCTAGAAGTCTCTCACAGTAACTGCCTCTGTCATCGGGTAGTTAAGGGACATCTGTCTCCATCTCGTGCGAGGCCTCCTTACCGTTCGCTTGGGGCGGGACACTAGAGGATGATCAGTGCGGAGGGATGAGTTGGACCTTATTGCTTTACTACTATTCAGTGCAGGTTCTAGAACCACTTTCACCCAAACAGGAGAACAACAAAAAGCGGAGTTGGAGGACAACAATTTCTTTGTCTGTTTTGTTAGATGGTAAGACGAACGGACAAGTGCCCCAGCTCGCTGCACTGAAGACAGGCAAGCAAAGGCGTTTACCAGTTAACTGATCAGCAGGCAGGCATGGTCAGGTCATCATTGGGTGAAGAGTTCAGAGGTCAGAAGGTCATAGGTTAGTTGCCGGTGGCGGCTGGGTGGTTAGAAACAAAAAAAAAACAAAACAAAAAAAGAAAGAAAAGATAGAGAAGAGATTAGTTCCAGCTAGTGACGGCTTAATGACAACATGAAAACTAATCACAACTAATAAAAAAAACAAGCATGTTTAATTCTGACATACTGATCGACACCATCTACAGAATGCAATAAAATCATGACAGCCCTCCATCATGATTTGGACATGTGAAGGAGAAGCCCGCTCCCACAAAACCGGTTAACAGGAGAAATAGAGATAAAATACGACTAACGACTAATGGTTAGTAGCAGTCGATGAAGGAAATTGGAAAACAAAAAACAATGAACAGTTTTGGAACTGGGTAGAAGATTTCTGGAACAACAGTCAGTGCACAGCATCAGTATCTGACTGCTATTAAGCATTAGTACCTCCCAAGGTGCAAGCATTAAAGCAACTATTAATGATGGATGTGATTATTAATAACTGGTTGTTAAAAGAATGGAGTCATCTAAGGAATTCTGGACTTAAGAGAAACAATTTGGTTCAACAAACTATGGGCCAAACAAAGGGTTTTTGTTCAATAAATTTTTTATTGCCTTTCATTTATTCTATTTACAAACAACATGGAATTTCTTGGCCTCATGATACAAAGCAATACTAAACTGTAGTCTAGCAATGTAGGCATCATCGTGGGAACCAGGAAAACGCTCAGCCTGCTACTTTAGCCAGCATTTTCCCGTTCAAAATACTATTTTACACATATAGGACACTTATAAAATGCACTTGCATGTAAACACTGTAAAAGTCCTGCCATTTTAAAGTCTATACTTAAAAAGCTCTAAGTACATCAAAAAATAGAGAAAATATCTAATTGACACTAATAAGGCATTTTAAAACTACAAACAGCTCTCTTTATTCATTTTCAAAGCTAATATTCTGCAAATACAATAAAATCTGACATTTCATATACATTCCTTTTTGCTTTATATTTTTATATTTTAAAAGAAGCCACCTGTAAATACTATTTTCTTTTGCAAAAAAAAACCCCAAAACAAAACAAAAACAACAACAACAACAAAAAAACAAAACAAAAAATAAAACCCAAAACCACAAACAAATTACAGTAAAACATAAAAAAATTCTCAAGTGGAAAGTTATCATTCCCAATGTTCTTGAGCTGTTCCTTCTTTAATCATTCTCTCACATTCTCCTTCACCAAACTTGGTCCACTTAACAGTAGTATGATTTTTTTATAGATTTTTTTTTTTAAGACTCATTCAACAGCTTAATTATAGCTAATAAATTCTGAGGTTGATAAAGTTTTTGTACTGTTGCCATTTTGACTAAGGCAGAGGAGATGAAAGTGAGAAAGGTATTCAGTGCAAAGTCAGATTTGTGCCATTACATAAAATGAAGTCCAGTACATGTAATATTCACAGATAGCATCGATTTAGCAATCTTTCTTGTGGGCTGATTTACTTTCACATAATAAAAATGGCCTATCATTTAGGATACAGTTCATAACACTAAGAAAAGTTACTACTGTAATGTAAATGAGACCAAACGCTCCCTGAATTTTTCCAGAATTATACTAAGTGGGGTTTGTTTAAATTAAAACGGCTCTTTCAAAAATAAGCAAAAATAAATATTTTATGTGGCACAATCTCACCACTTTACAGGTATACTAGAAACAGAGTCTTAAAGCATTTTGAGACTGATTACAATTTTGATTAAATGGTATTAAATTTTATATATAAATTATGTGACAGTTGGTTTGGATAAAACATTCAAGAAAATTCTCAGCATTAATATTTCTTGTGGAGTTTATAATCAAAGCAAGCTACCTTTTAAAAATACCAGTACACCTGTGATACATCCTCTGCCAAGTCTCTGGCCTTCTACAGTACACACAGGTTTGTCAACTGTGCAACACCATTTACAGTTTATTACAATTAAATCAGTCAGTCTCTCTGTTATCATGCATCAAATTCAATTTTGTATTATTTATAAACTGGGGTTTTATTCTGCGTTAAAATGAGCTATATTTTTCAACCCTTCACCAATTCTAAATGCTTAGTTGTAAGAGTAAAACATTTACACATTTGGGGATTCTTGCTTTAAATGCAGTGCTTATCTCTAAAAAAAAAACCCAAAACAACCAATGCAAAGAATAAAAACCTACTTAAAAAGTGAATGCAGTAGTACTACAAAGTCATTTGCAAGTCAATTTAGAATTTAAAAAAACCCAAAACAAACAACTTCAGACCCAATGAATGTGAATATAGATTTAGTGACATTTAACTACATAAAAAAAAGTTTTCGCATTGAAAAAAAAAGTATTTCGGTTTGCTGACATTGTTGTTCATGGCTTTAGCTATAGAAGTATATCGGTGACAGAACAACCAAATAGGTGAATATGGTAAATACTGATAGTATTTTAATTCTACAACGTAGTTTTAATACATTAATAGAAACTGTTTTATTGCCCAACAAAGTCATCTCCAAAACCTTTTGTGAAACTGTTAAATCTGTGCAGTGATAATATAGGATTTAAAATTCAAAATACAATGAAGTACAGTTGTAAAATTACCTTTGTGTAAGTTTCTTAATACACACTGGGATTATTTAGTTAAGACTTTAAAATCACTTTCTTCTGAAATATCAGCATGGTTTTCATGCTAAAATAGAGAGGTATGCATGACTTACTCCACAGGAGATAAGCCATGTGTACTTTTTTTCTTAAGACAGCGGGCTTCCAATATGGCTAGATATGAACACTGAGTTATCAGAAAATGGCTGTATTTTAAAAGGTGAAATGATACCACTTACTAATTTCATTTAGTTATAAGTGACCCAGATAAAACATCTAGGCCCTTTGCTAAATATTTAAAATCTATTTTTAGTAAACACTACAAGGATGCACTTAGACTACAAATTGGTATTGCAGCCACCCCTCACCTCCCCATGCTTTATCAGTGAAATACATTGCTAGTTGTCTCAGGCACGTATCTTATTAAACAAAAAGGCAGTCTCACGTGTCACCTGAAACTACCACAGCAGATCATGAAAGACCATTAGCAAAAACTGATTTTTGCAACATCAGGTCAAACTTTCAAAGATAACCAAATCCTTACCACCCATTACTCTTGACAGAGATAGATTTTAATCTTTTTTCCATTTCCTTTTTTTCCTCCTTTTATTTTGGCGGTGGGGTAAACATGGGCTATGACCTTATTCTGGTTATACCCTGTTGCCCATTGAAGAGTTCTCAAGAAATGAGAACAAGCCAATGGGCTGCAAATAGTGTGCAGTGATATAAAAGAAGCAATCTTCTAGAAAACTGAAGTAGTGTCTTGTTATCAGCTTTACACTTTCCGTAAAGCGTAAGATCCTTACACATGAGAGATAAAAGCGTTACATCAATATAGCAAATATCCAGGAGGGCCCTTTTTACTGTATTGACTGAAATCTGTATTGTTTCTTGTAGTTAATTTATGGGAGGCTGAGAGAAGCGAAGTGTAGTCAATGTTAGGAGATGTCATATCTGTCACCTGAATTTGACTTTTGAATATTACAATATCATGGAAGCCTGCACAACACTGATTTTGATGAGAGGAGAATAATAATACTTGGCACTTAACGCTTTGCATCCTCAAAGCCCTGTACAAAACAAGAACCCCCACAACACCCCTGTGAGGTAGGGAAGTATTATTATCCTTATTCTACAGATGGGAAAACATACACAGAGAGATTAAATGACTTGCCGAAACCCAGTGAGTCAGCAGCAGGGATGGGATATGAATTCAGCCCACACACTGCTTCCTAGCCAATGTCAATAAACCGAAAAATAGCACTTTTCTCAATAAGCTTAAATACTTCATTCAGGGGTCCAAAGGCATTACACTTGAGGAACAGGAGAAAAATGAAGATTTACTTTCCATTCAAGGGTTAAAGAGAGATGCCCAAATATTGGATGTCATCTCACCAACAGGACTTCAAAAGTTGCTTCTCCTTCAGGTTACACGTTTTAGCAGCAAAAGGCAAATACCAAGAAATAGATTTTGGCAAGAAACCAAAAGACCCTCCTTTCCCCCACCCTTAGTACTTCAAACTCAAACAACTTTTGAAGTATTATCTTCACAGCCCTTACCTTTCTGAATTCAGTCAGGTATCTGAGAACATGCATCCTCCTCATAATATACAGTACAGTGGCTCAAAAGTTTATTGGAAAAAAAGGAATCTAAATCTTCAGATTTCTCCAGACACAGACAGGAGGCATTTATTCCTTTACTTCTTTCTCATTAAACAACCATCCATTCATTTTATTTTGCAACACCAATCTGATATTTCCACACCAATTAAAAGAACAAACTGTGGGGAGGGACGGGGGGAAAAATGACCAAATTAATTATTGGAGCACTGAATTCATAGTGTTTCCTGATGCAGATAGATCTTTAAATAGTTTTTAAAAGGGAATCAGCTATAGCTTTTATATTGAATATATCACAATGTGTATATATTTAATTGAGCTGGGAAAGCCAAGTTTACAAAATGTTTTTAAAACTGCAAGCATTCCCAAAACTCTGATAAATATTGACTATTCAGATTTTTTGAGAAAAATAATGGGTCAAAATACGGTATTTGGTTAACCAGCTGTGGTGTTGCAAATCTCATGTACACTCAAAGCACTTCTTACAAACAAGAACTGCAGAACTAAACTAACCTCGGTCTGCGGTCACAATCCTTTGGTAAGGATGGACACGCATATCGTGCCTTCGAACTTTAGTAGCCACCGCACCTAGTTAAATTGCAATTACCAAGACAAAGTTAGAAAACATTCAAAGAAAACATTAACAGCAGGTTTATCAAAATGGATTTAAATGATCATTAACTACAAAAGTTCATTTTAAGAAAAGCAACAAGTTAAGGCACAGTAGTTTCAAATCTTAATCTTAAAAAGAAGTTTATCTGTGCAGATTAATATTGCATTTATTTTAAACATCCTGGCCTTAACCTGTTTAATCCATTCATTTACAATCCCAAAATTACAGTATTTCATGAAATCTATTAGACCCAAGCACATTTAAGCTTTACTAGTCACATATTCACTGAAGTGCCTTTCTTGCAGCAGGACTATTTTAAATAATGCCATCTTTTAATACTGACAATTATTTGCTAACCTTAAGATCACTTCCAGTTCTACCACAAAAAAAAAGTTTTAAAGCAATTCTTCAAGCCTACAGATTGTGATTTTAAACTTTAAGTCAATAAGTATGAACTGCAATGAATTAGGTGATTAGTAAAGCAAACACTATATAGAACACTTAGCAGTCAGTATACTACTATACACTCATAAATTACAGCTACTCTGTAATAATAGGAGCTAATCCAAATTAATAGCACTATTTTATTTTAAATCTATGTGCAAAAAAGTGCAAGTAAGTCACTGACTGCTAGGCCAAGCTTTTTTCAAGGCTGCTGAAACTAAGCATTTGTTAAAATTCAGATCTGATGAAGGATCAGTTAAGACCGTTCTTGAATTCTTAGCCTTTCGTTGGGAAAGCCATACCTGAAGATAAAAGGAAGGGAATTAAAAGTTAGTCACCAACTAAAATTTGATCCCAACACCAATATCCCCAAAATACTAATAGGGATGCATTTCTCTGCCATTTTAAACAGAATTATTTTAAGACGCCTTAAAGGTCCACCACAAAAATGGACCAAATATAGCATACTATTAATGAGAATGAATGTATTGCAAAATAAAACTCAACAGGAAAGCAATGTAATTCAATTAACTCCATACAATTGCTCAGATAACAGAGCAGATGTATTAAAATTTATGTATTAAAAGTTATTGATTCTATGCTACCTAAGTAGGGGTGTGGTGTGTCACCCCCCCTTTTTCCTTTTTTAAATAAGATTATTTGGTGAGATCTGTTTTGGGCAATACATCTGTGCTAAGCCCAAAAGTATGCTATGTTTTCAGATGCCATTCTAGGAGTAATTTTCTGCTCCTCTCTCCTTACAGAAAATTCTGTGAGAAATCAAAGTTCCCTGCATCGTATTAAATTCTTACTATGGGATGATGCATTTCTTTACTTTCTATTAACTGAATTCAGGAGCGGGGTTTGCCACTAACCAGCAACTGATAGCTACTGTGATGATGCCTGTGACAGTGACTTTACCCCAGGATATATCGCAAGTGGACTCACAGATTGGGGGTGGAAGGGCTGGGGAGAACATTTACAAGTTTGTGGGAAATGAATAAATGATGATATTATCACACTCACTGAATTTTGGCTATGGGGTAATGGACAACAACCATAAGCTGCTCAAAGACAGACCTACTGCATACTTTTGTCATACTAAAATGTTTGTTATTAATTCACTAATCCTGAGAGGCGGAAGTCTGAAATACATTTTCTTTTTTACTGTATAAAATACAATGCGGGAACATGCACACAAACAGATAACTCAACAAGTATTTGTCACATAAGTGAAACACTGATTTTTTTTGCAATACTTTCAACAAAATATTGACTTTGAACCATATTGTCCAGTCTTCATTAGAGACGTTTAGAATTCATGTAAATCAATAACTGCCACTGAACAAACTAAGATCAAAGTCCTACAAAATCAACATTATGCAGCACCAAGGTCATATGCAATTCAGAACAAGCTGAAGAGAAAAAATTATTTACAGTCTGTAGAGGGTAGAGAAGGAAGAAACTATTGGAACTGCTTATTCCATATTGACTAGTTAACTGAATCGTCACGGCTGCTTTATCATCCTTGCCTCACACAACAAGTCAGTGGTCTGAAATATTAGGAATGATGGACATTTCAATCTAATGTATATAGAAGAAGCCATCAGTTGCTAATTGTACCCTCCTTTGGTCAGAACTTCAGTTTGCTTTATGTTCATTCACTGAAATTATTTTCTGCTTACAAAATGATTTACAGCTTTCTGACACCGAGGAGAGCTTTATCAGTTGTGTACTAAATAAAGAAGCAAAACCACCAACAAACTGAACAAAGACCTTTCCAATCTCTTCAGTTCTGCTACTAAAAAGGTACAGCAAAAGAGGAAGTTCTCTCTTCCAAAGACTACTGGAAATAAATTTCTGTTGAAGAGAGCACAAACAAATCTGGTATTTACGGAAGCCCAAATGACATATAATAGATGTCAACTTCTATTTGTTTTTTTCCCCCTTGCCTATGTATCCACTATCTAGTGCCATACAAACAATAAGATTTTATTTTTAGTTATCTTATTAATATACTAAACACACATATTTAATAAATGCAAAACATGTTTAAAACGTTTTAGAGTTACACCATTTGAACAGTTTTCCTAGGCAGTTTTGGTATACCTGAGATGAGATTGTTGCTTCAAATTCTTTTCTTTGAGCCCCAAGACCTCTACCTTGCAAACACAACAAAACCAAAAGCGATATATTCTCCCGTCATCCGCGTACAAAGATCTTACCTAATACACCACTAGGTTCAATAGGATACTCAAGGATTGATGTAGCTGGTGCCAGCGTGTAGGGGTATTCATATGGTGTGTAAATTAAACCAGCTTCGGGTCCAGGTGGAACTATTGCAGCGGTGGGATGAGGAGTTCCGTTTGGCATGACAGCGGTTTGTATTTGTCTGATCAAAGGCATTATGGTAGGGCCAGCTGGCGTAGGAGTACGCAGGGCAGCTGGTGGGAGAACAGGCGCAGGCCCAGTAATAATCCTTGGAGCCTGGGCTGTTGCTGCAAGAGAAAAGGCAAGGGCTGCTACAGTAAGCAAAGAAATTCAGAGGAAAGTATGGAGATAGCAGTACAAAACGTGGAAAGAATGGGAAAAAAGGGGAAAAGTAGGAAAGAAGAAAAATAAAAGGAAATCATTAGTACATGCGCTGATCACACAGTGCCAAAGCACACCATTCAAATGCAAACAGCTTTCCATTTTCCAGTGTGATTAAGTATGAACATGCAAAATAAAAAAGCCATTGTAAAACAGTGAGGTAGATTTCTCAAACAGGTTACACAGCACAAAAGCTCCATTTAGACCATATTTCTTCATTTATGCTATCAAGACTGCATGAGACCGAGATGCATGCAGGAGATACAAGGAAAATACTGTCATAATCAAATACAGAGTACAAAATTTAGTGCAACTATAGAGTCCACAGATACTCAGTTATGCAGAGCTGTCATATGAGTCTACAGTTTTTATACATCCTAAAACTGTATTTAAACATATACTCAATTCCAGTTTCCAGGGTTAGTGAAGTTGAAGATGACCTAGAAACATGATGTATCTCCTCTCCTACTCTAGCATGAATAAAATAGACTTAAAAGTGATTTCCATACCAAATTCCCCCAAATAACATACTTTCTTTGTGTTACAAAGTTCACTATGGTGTTGCTTAGGGTGAAGCAAAAAGGTGCTTTTTTTTTTTTTTTTAAAATGGTGCTAGCACATTTTATTAAGTGTTATTTGAAGCCTGTTGGCAAACAAGATGGACAACTTAAACACTAACACATCAGCTGGTAATAATCAATCTTAAAGGGTTATAATTTATAGATTTCTGTGCACTGCAGTTGATCTACATTGATTTAATTAACTTACACATGATCTGAAAAGAGAAATGGGGGAGAAATTTTTCAGATTTGAGACTGTTGTGGTTTTTAAATTATTTTTATTTTTTAAACGAAAGTGCTCAGACTTAATGTAATTTAAAAAAAAAACCCAAATTTTCATTTTCTTTCTTAAATGGAAATAAACCAATATGGCTTCTACATCTTGAAGTTTTCAGTAAAATCAAAACACAATCATTGAAATTGTCTTATCATCAAAAAGTGAACATTAGTGTGGAAATCTATAGTCAAAAAATGAAAAAAAAAAATCCATCTTCCCACTTATACTGATACAATAGACCAATGGGAATAGCTTAGACAAATAAATTGTTCAAATTAATATAAAGGTTTCTATGCAACAGTTTGCATCAATTTAAGGTAATCTGAGAGCTATTTTACACATAAATTTGCAATAATTTAGAGACTAAAATATATTTAAAACCAATCTAGCTTTAAATATTACGGTGTTCATTAGAGCCAAAAGATTTACCACTACCATTGTAGTGGTAAAAGCCCTTGCTAATGTCTCTTTTCAAATCAGAATAATTACACTGGTGTAAGCACTCTCAAATTGACCTAACTGCATTCCAACCTTTAACATATTCAACATTGAAATGGTGACTGTGTGAAGAAACAAATTTGCAAATATCAGTAGGCCCTTAGTGAAAAGACTGATTTAACTGTGCTTACATTTGACATCTGTATCACAGCTACAGCAAAAAATTTACTTTGGAACTGTATCAGCAACTACATTTTCAGGAAGAGAAATTAGATTTTCAACTAGAGAAAATAATTTGTATCACATATAATAGGTATATGCTGTCATTAGTAGGTGTATGTAATTAATTTTCCAGTGTAAACCTGTGCATACATGCAGTTGCAAAAGCATTCTCACAAAAATGTAATGGAAGAAATTGTAAAAATGGCTCATTACATCACTGATCCCTGTGAACTCAGCTGTGAAATCAGTTGATGAATTGTTGGAAAAACATAACATTGGGGGGGGACATGCAAGCAAGATGAAAGGAAGGAATATAATACAGAAAAATGTATTCACAGTATCCTGAACATCTGTAGCATTTTCAAATTAAATCGCTAAAAATAAAATTGAAAAGGAGTCCATTGTCCCTTATATGTGTTAAGGAAAAAAATGACTGTAAAGTAGTCATTTTTAAAATTACATATTTGAAAGTATTTCAACTCAGATATACTGTTAAAAAAAAGAGGGGGAAGGGGGAAACACAAACAAAAATAAAACCCCAAACTGACATAACTTAACTTTAGAAGATCTTTTGCAACAGCTACCTACTGTTTTGTTGGTTTTTAACTGCCCTCCAATCTCCGACACAGTTGCGACTATACATTTGCCAAAAGGTGGCTTTAGGAATCAAAACCTGCAAATATTACTATGGTATTGACCCTTGAGCTTATGACATGCTTACGTGATTTGATGTTGGCATCTCTGTAGGTGCCATTCAGAATTGCAAGCTCCATCAGCTGCATCTTTTTAAGGCTGTCTTCTCCTTCTGCCTGCATGTGAAAAGATGCGAAGAAAGTCAGGTTTATTAATTTACTAGTGCACAAGATCTAAGGGACCTAGAATAAAATGCCTTCGAGTTTTAACCAAGCAAAATACCTGCTTAACATTAGGCACAAAAAACAGTAACATTTGTCAACTTTTCTTTAAAATTAAGTGCAAGTTGCCTGTTGTCTATCATTAAGTGGTGTTGATAAATATCTTTAAAGAGTTTTGAAAAAAGCTCACACCATAAATTATAAAAATATGGTGAAGTGTAAGTTGTGTTTGATAGAAATTGATGAACAAATTTTTTCTCAAGTTTTAGTAAATGTTTACGTTGACTTCTAGAGCGATGTTTTTAAAAAATGCATTATTGGGCTAGAGGACACCACAAATTTTAAGCATCTTCAATTTATTGTAACTTGCTCCACTGAGGTTAATAATGACTACTTTGGGGTGGGGGGGGTAGGAAAAAAAAACAAACAAAAAACACTAACAAACTTTGAGTAGCTTTCCAAACAGGACACCAACAACTGCTGTAAGGCAGAATTCATCATTCTGGCACATGTAGATGTATTGCTATAGGGATATAACTACTATCTATACAATATACATTATTCTTGGTTTTGCTTTGATATAAATGACTTCCCTTAAGTTATCTACTCCACTTGTATCCAGCAGTTTGCATAGATACTATGCAGTATTCAGTAAAAAAAGCTCACTTTTTCAGTTACTAACAAAAATATTTCTAATTAGTACAATACTAGTTTTAAGACCAGACATTTTCTGATCTGTCTTTCCAGAAATACTACCACTTGTTTATTCTACATCCTATCAACCAGAAAACAAGATGATATAGGAAACCCAAGAGAGATGGTCAGCGTGTACTTTAATGTTAAGTTACCACCTCACTTCTTGTACTGAATGACACTGCTGAAATTCTCAGTCAGATGGAAAAGAGCACAACTTCACTGTCAGCCGCGTTGCATTCTTCCTTTGCTAAAAAGGATTTCTTATACGTTTCCTTATCTTGTCTATTCACACAATGTTTTCCAAATATTTGGAACAGCATTTTCCAAGTTCATGGGAACCTGGATAATAATATACTGTGCCATCCACTCTGAAAATCCTAAAGTCTGATTTCAGAGAAAGTTGTTCACCTGTCTTGAACTACAGCTCTTACAGATGTTTTGAATTAGGACTTCCAGGAGCATAAGTGATTATAAAAAAAACAGAATTAAAAAGCCACAAAGAATAGCAATCACCATCAATTAAAAAAAAATAAAAATCTATTAAATAAGTTTGTGTCCATTACAGCACTGCACCAGTGAAACACCATCTCAAACTAGTTAAGAGTTAATAGGATTATCTACATGCACTTTTCCAAATGTATAGGGAAATATTTTTTCAGGCCAGTTTGCAGCAAAATATTGTTATACATACTTCAGTCCCAAACCACATAGAAGTAATTTACTAAATTACAAGACAAAAGACATTTTAAACTTGTATCTAAGCAAATATGGTATTTAGTGTGAGGTATACTCAATGACCACTGCCCCTTGTAATGGAAACTTTAACATCCGACTTTTAGCAATAACTTAAAATCAACATAGTAAGACAGGTCAACTCTAAATTACTTTCAGATGTCATAAATGAAAGTCCTAATTGTAATACTGAGGACTTGCATAAACACAAAGATAACACAGTAAGTAACAATTAATGTTGTTGTTAAACACTCAGAATATACTGAAAGTTAGACATTGTCTCTATATATCAAACACTGTATGACAGACTAAGCTAACCCTAATATTGAGAAAGTAAATACACATTCAATTACCATTTAAACTACAAATTAATTGTACAGTTAAGTACTGTACTATCCAGAAACCTCAGACTCCATAGTCATTAAAATGAGACCTTCTGGAATACAAAATGTACCGATTATAGCATGCTTAATATGACATACTCAGAATAGACTTACCATTTACATGCAAAAGATTATTTATTTTTTTTTAAAGAAACTATTATTCTATGGCATCTTTGCTGGTAAATTACCTAGACAATCATGATGCAATAAAAACAATTCCAAAACTATCTGCCTATCCAGAGCTCACAAGTTCTTGTCATTCTGGATATACCTTATCTAATGTATTTTAGCAATAAAGATTTTTAACACATTGATTCCTCTTTTCCCCTCCCCCCATAATGGTTATACTTTGTTATTGACTTTTTGCTTGGGTTCCTTTATTTATTTATTTATTTGAAAGTGCGTAACAAAAAAACCTCCTCACAATGTCAGCTACATCCCGCATATAGTTCCATTAATGTTACTAAAATTGCTCACTTCCTTCAAATAAGAGTCCAGGTGATTGATCTGACACCATTAATGAGTCTCAGTAAATGCTGAATCTTACATTCCACTTGCTAGGATAATTTTAGTAACTCTAATCCCAGATTTTGCACCACAGTGAATATTTCCCAAATGTAACTATTTATGGGATAATAATTTTAAGACAGAAAACATTTTTTCCCTTCTGACATCCCCCAAAGAAGGAGTTACAACAACTTAAAACCAAAAAAAGGCAAAGTAATCGTTCTTACTTTGGATTTTTAACATTTTCCTATAGGTCACTATGCTTCCTATGAGAAAAGCTATTGCAATTATCTAGGTTTTACAAAGTATGTTTACAAAAATAATAATGGACTTCAGCATACAAAGCAGACCAAGTCCTTAGCTTTTATTTTTGAGATTTACTTCTCTGGAGTACTGCTCAGCAGTTGATAAGCTTTTTTTTACTCTTTTAAACAGACTCCAAAACATAGTTTAAAACTTTCCTTTAAAGACTGTATCAGTGATAATTCACAGACGTAAGATGTGGATTGCATTTCTAGACATTAATGCTGTCTTTCAATTTCTGGTAATTTTTTTTTTTTTTAAAGCATTAGGTAGAGAGAAAAAAAAACAGCCCAAACAACACCCCCCTCCACTTTAAAAACATCTTTAATGCTGACCACAAGGGCATCATTCCGACTCCTCCCAGAAGATGGCACTGTTTATTATACAATACCATCTCCTCAAGACATGGGTGCCTAGCACTGTTTGCACCACCCTATAGGACTGCTCAAGATCCTGCTACCCCCTCACACCCTAAACTTGCAACAGTCACTTGCCACCTCTCTTCAAGGCATAAGTCACAAAGTGGTCAGGACCCTTTCAGATATGCTGTCACATCCTTCGTTCTCTGGTATCAAGCTCTCCGCTTGAACATGACATTCACCAATAGCCAAGCCCTCAAATTTCCAAGAGCTGGGATGGAGCAATGGGCGCATGGTTTTGCCTGCCCTATCCTCTCTCTCCGTTGCTGACAGATGATCAAATGAGGCAAACTGATGCAATCTATCTTGGCTCCAGGCATTTCTACAGGCATTCTCTGTTAAAGCAAAGAGAGGTTGCCTCTGGGATACAAAGGCAATCTCTAAAGGGACGGTACATTACCTGTACAATAGCTACAACAAAGCTCAGTCATTTGTACCAAGGGCAAGCTACTTTGAGCAAACATCAATAAGGTCACTGAAAGCCAGATTTGCATTACTAAGTTGAAGCTCCCGTGATTGACTCAAACCTCTCATCCTCTTAAATCTCCAGTGCTTTCCTTGTATTTCTCACGTACAAGGTAACATGCAGATTAAGAAAAAACCTTAAACGGTATCTTGAAACATAATTCTTTAAATGTAAGCACTTGCAACTGCTCGCTGACTACAAATACTGAAGAGACGCAAGCAGTAAATCCTAACAAAGCCAACTGTGCACAGACAACAGCAGTTACTGTTTGGCGAACACACAGCCAGTGCTCCTCACAGCAGCTCAGCTCTACTTGGGACAGCAATAAAAAGACCCGAGAGAGACCAAATGCTAGTGAGCACTATCGTTTTAAGTAACTTGTTTTCTAATCTTTATCAGAGTAGGATTAATAGTCACAAGGTTCAAACCGCTAGTAACAACTACAAGTGCCACCTACATGAAGTCTCTGGGGAAACGCTTCCCAAAACAAAACAATTTCAAGTGAAATACATTACGCTGACCACACTGATACCCAATTAAAACCACAATTCTGTCTCCTACATTAGGCAATACTGTCTGTTTAAAAAAAAAAAAAAGGAATGCAGTTATGTAATAAACTGCTATTAGTAAGAGCTTGTTTCATGTCATGAAACAGGGAGCTCAGATAAAGCACTCCATTTAATTTTTTTAATGACTTCTTTTCATCAATGTCCAAGCTATACTTCAACCTCAGAAACCCCAAGATCCTCAGAGAATTCTTTTAACTAATGCTTCTGAAATTATTAGGCACTTAAATGCCTCAGACTCTCATAGGCATACAGTGCGCCCTTAAGAGCAGCATACAGATTAACTTCTTATTTATACACAAAACATACGCACACTAGATAGATCTGGTGCCAAGGTGGAAGACAGACAGGCACACAGACTCCAAAAGGAAGTGCATTCACTGTACTATGTCAATGAAGACTTCAGAAGGTAACAACAGTCTTCAGAGGTGACAGGTAGACTGTTAAGATTCTGTGTACAGTCAACTCTGAGAAGCCTGTAATAGCTTACAGTACAGAAGGAAAGAAAGATACTATCTTAAAAGAAAAGAAGGATCAAGTAGCAATGTTTACTACAGAGCAGAGACCCAGGAGCTAGCATCCAGTGGAGCCAGTCACTGCCCATAGTGCCCTGCCATACTGCTGCCGGACCCAAACGGACCACATGGGAGGTGACTGCAGCTCAGTTAATTCACAAACCAAACAATCCACTCACTCCTATGACAGCACGGATACCTTATCCTGACAGAGCTCCTTGAGCCTCACAGTCTTACCCGGCTAAGTCTCAGAACATACCCCGGTCCTCACTATCACCAACACGGGCAGGGAAGGCTTTCAGCATTTCTGTACAAACATACACACTTTCCCCGTATGATGCTCATTTTCCTTTTAAAGTAACTACTTC